ACTCTTTGGATTCTGGATCCAATCCACCATGAAGCATTATGTTTGTACACTGGTGCTTTTCAAACAGCTCCGCTCAATGAGTTTGTCAGGTTGTCAATCGATTGCGCAGCACAGGAAGTTGATGACGTAATACGCCAGAATGCAGCACCTGTTAGCAACCGCGTTTGAAGTGGACTGGTCCGATTTGCTTTAATAGGGGTGAGGAAATCGAGCTGGAGGGACTTCAGTGTGCAGTCAAGCGTGATACGGGTTGACATTACTAGCCACTTATCACTGCTTGCTTAGCGTTTTTATTTTAAAATCGTAAAATCGTGGCCCTGATTATCACAAATTATTATTATATCTGTTATTTTGATACTTTTCTGTCTTTATAATGTTTTACTTACTTTAATTTCCTGTAATTAGAGACGAAACGGCTTTAAAGTAAACAGATAAGCTTTCTCTTGCCAATAGATTATCTCAACTTTCACAGATTGTCCTCGGTTCTTTTGTAATCGGATAGGAATTGACTGTCTTTCAAAGTCCAGTGTTAATTGTTTATTGCTATTGCGGTAATACTAGTAGAGCGGGAGAGTTCCTTAATGAACCGCTTTTTATTACTGTTTAAAGAACTTCTCCCCACTTGTTATTCTTAGTAACTAGACATGTTTGTCAAGGTCGGTTATAGTTTATTACTTTCACAACAGGGTGTCAAGTGAGCTGCCATCCACACCCACCGTTAACGGCAACAACGCGCAAAGTATCACGTTACTCTGTAAACAAGAACTCCCTTCCTTGTTGGAGGCGGGTCAGATGTCAAGGTTACTGTTTAATTCTATTGAACAGAATGTTGTCGTTGATATGTAAGAATCAGTTTTGTCAGAACTGTTTGTTTTTAATACATTTTTTATAATATATTACCACTTTGGTTATAAAAGTGTTTTTATCATGTTCTAAATCGATTTGTTATAAATTCTACTTGTATAAAGTTTATGAATTAAAATGGTAACGAGCATTCCGTGGTTTATATAATGAATAAATATTTCTNTGTCTAAAGGCTTTAAAATTATTGTAACGGCAGATATCCGTTATAAGAAGAACTTCTTATAACGGACATCTGCCAACAATGGCCGCCGTTTAGAGGTGGCCGTTATAGGAAGTGCGACTTAGTTTTTCGGGTATAGTTTGTAGTTCTACTTCAATTTTTCAAGAATGTTTCTTACAAAATAACCTCCGAACGACAGCCATTTTTTATGTTGCCGTCAGTGTCCGTTTACATAGGTTCGACTGTATATGTAGATCATATATTAGATTTGGCCTTATAAATTGAGGTGCAAACAATACAGTAATTATGTTGAATGTGAGATATTAAAGTTTGCGATCGCTCGTAAAGAAATATTATTTTTTACAGCTTGTTTCTTTCCTGAAAAATGATATGTCTTACTTTAATGCTTGATTTTTTTTATATATAATTTGTGCCGAAGAAAAGAAATTTATTACAATTTTAACGATTCATCTCAAATTAGTAGAAAGGTTTGCCAATTAAGAAATATCTTTAGAAAAATAAACGACAGTTTTATGGTTTTTAATAACAGTCTGGTCCTAGTTGTATAATTAGTTGATGACTCATTTTGTTCTTTTTTTTAACTAGTTATATTAAAATTTTACTCATTTTACTATAATAATAATAATTATTATTAAATTTTTAAGCGTTTAATTATGTTTAATTAACGTCAACGTTCTCAAAATGTGCAAATTATACGGTGCGTAACTTGCGTGCAAAGCGGGATTATAGTAAGAAGAAAATATTTTTTAAAAAATAATAAAGAATATTAAATATAAAAAAAAGAAGTTAGTTATAAGAGTTGATGGAGAAGTTATCCCTCATTAAATAGCATATTACTATAGTTTTGAGGAGGAAATATACGATTTTTATTTAATGGAAGTGTGTTAGTGCTTCGACTCGTCCCAATTGAGTTGATCATAAAAACAGTCCCGCCCCATACATTTCTTCATTATTGTAACATTAAGACCCCGATAATGGATAATGTCTACAGGAAAATAAATTGCTAAGTTCCTCCCTTGCGAGAAATCTGCATTTTTGACTACGGAATAAGTCAGAGTCGGTGGTGAGAAAACCAATTGTCATGCAAAAAGAAAACACGGAAGAAATATAAGATTTGTTGGGATGAAAATACTAAACATTAGAATTTTAAATTATGCGAAGTTCTTTTACATTTGTAAATTATGTTTATTTATTCCATAGTGGAAGGAATTAATGTTTTAACGAATAATATTTCACTTTTTCCTTCAAATTACTAATATTTAAAGCGGTTTTTCTCTATATTAAAAATAAAACTGATAAGGAATAATGTGTGTTTTTAATACATATTTCACAGGAAAAAATAAAATTTCGGTTAAAATTTTATTGTTGAATTATTACTCTGAAATTCATACGCGTTTTCTTTTTATTTGTTTAAATCTTTTTATAATCGAAATTTCTCGAGATTATTAATATCGTTGCTTGTATAAACAATTTTATAAATTTTATTTTCAAATCGAATTTCATGTCAAGTATNGAGCTTATTGTACCTCTCGTTCTCTCCTGTACAGGTGTGATACCACACACACTACACAAAAGCCTGGGAACATTACAATTGAATAGAAATACATACATCACACTACAGAAGGAAACTATATTGAATACATGCCACATTGTTAGGAAATTCCTGAATACAGATACTGACACACTTAATTTTTGTTCTTGTTTGCTATGCCTTGACTCTGGTCTGGCATAGTACACAGCCACCGGTGTGAACTGAGTAACCCATTAAACCCAACATAATAATAATGAAAGTGAAATTATTTTAGATTTTCAAAAATTTTATACTTACCTATACAGAAGCCCTGATACTAATTGGGACTATTGGGATGATGATACTAGTAATATTAAACCTGTAAAAAAATAAAGAAGAAAATATTATAAATAAAGAAATCACAAAAGATGAAATAAAAATGCTATAAATGACTTAAGGATTAGAAAAGCTCTGGGCACTGATGGACTCAACACTGCATTCCATTGCTTCTTCAGAGATGACTTTATTAATATTTTCTACTGTTTATTTATTTACACAAATTGTAAAGTAAACTTTAATGAAGGGAAAATGGTATTAATAAACAAAAAAGATAATGAAGGCAGCTGGGTTGGGGACTTTAGGCCGATTACATTGTTAAATGTTGACTACAAAATTTTTAGTAATATTCTTGCCAAAAGGCTTGAGAGAGTATTCAGAAAACATGTGTAGAACATTCAAAGTGCAGGTATAAAGGGTTGTACCATTCAAAACAATATTATGTTTGTCAAGTTACTACAGGACATTTATGTGAAATGGCAGATTCCACGTTTCATTCTTTCTGTGGATGGCAAAAAAGCTGTTGACACATTTGATCGGAAAATTTTATGGAAGTTTCTTGATGCTTTTGGCCTAAATAAGGATGAAATTTACAAAATGAAGTTACTTTACAGGACACCAAGCACAAAAATGAACAATAGAGATTCTGATTATATTGAATGTAGATCACGGTACATAGGGTGATGATACTTTTTACTATTTATATAGATATTCTGTTAAAAATGATTAATAGTGATAATTTAGTCACTTCAGTATACATGCTAGTGATGAATCAAACTATTAAATTCATAGCACATGCAGATGATATAAACTTTATAATAATGAACAAAATTGCAAATAAGGTCACTCAAAAAATAAAAATCTTCAGTTATTTAACTGGTATGAAAATAAATGAGAATAAAAGCAAACTGTTTAATTTAATTTAACATATATGGGGTTATGAATTGTGATACTATGAACATTGAAACTGTAAATGAGATAAAATTGCTTGGTGTATGGTTCAGGGTAAATAGCAAGCAGAAAAACCTTGAAAATATGGTACAAAAAGTTAGAGGTTATAGCCGAATGAGAAAGTAACTGGCTCTCTATGCCTGAATGCACTATAGTAGGAAATAAGATTTTGATAGCATGCATTATATATCATATAATATGTACATTACAAATCTAACAAATGAGGATGTAAAAACATTAGAAAAGCTTATTTTTAATTATATTTGACAGAACACCTTTGAACCCCTCAGCAGTAAGATTATGAAGAATAATTTTCCACGGGGGGATGGAAAGTATGGGGCATCAAAAACTTGGAATGCTCTTTGCAGGTTGCAAACTTGATCAATGCTATTAAAAAACAAGATCATCCATTATGTTATGTCACACATTACATCCTGGGATCTGTTGCTAAATCTATTACTCAAATAGAAGGTAATAAACTTTTTTTTAATAGACAACACAAAAAAAATACAGAAAATGAAGAAAAATTGAAGAAAAAATATATTTCTTACTTCACTATACATATACATGAGTCCTTATCTTCTATCTCTTCACAAGCTTATTGTAGAGGCATTAACAAGAATAATAAGCATGTGAAGGGATAGAAGATATGGACTCATGTATATGTATATTTTTTCTTCTAAATATGAATTTGTCTTGGCAATTTTTGTTAAAAATAGAGTTGATTAAATAATGATCAAATATGGAATAGTAATACAGTAGAGCATCGATTATCTGAATACCGATCAACTAAAACATCAGTTAACCAAAAGCATTCCAGTCAGCAAATTCAAGTTTTCACTAGAGCTGTGGCATTGCAGCACTCTTTCCCTCCCTGCCAAACTGAACTGTAGGCCTAGTTTAATGTATTACATTATGTAAGGTATGTATTTGTAAGACATGTGATACAAATTATATACAGTACAGTTTTGTGTTTAATATATTTCTGTAAATGATCAGTTATTTAAACAACCCCAGTCCAGAATTGTTTTGGATAATTGATGCTCTATTGTAATAGTATTCAGTCTTGTATACAGTATTCAGTCTTGTAGTTTACAGGAATGTGCATAAACAATATATCAGTGTAAATGTGCTTAATAATAATCTAAACTGGAATAGAATATGGGCAAATGTGGAAGTTCTCCCAACTGAATAGAGGGATCTATGTGGAAGATTGAACAACATTGTGATGACTAAAAGCTATATCTATACCTATCATCGCTGTTGCGATACCCTGTGCTCCTTAGATGAGACAATTATATGAACATGTGTTCTTTGAATGTCATGTAGCCTGTCAGGTATGGGTAAATAGAATCTGGAAAATATCACTTACCTGAAAAATGTATAATACCACATTAATTATCCTTAATTATCCCATTAGAAACCAAAACAAATACGTGCTAAACTGGATGATTGGTTTAGTTAAAGGGATTATATGGAAAGCAAGGCGTATACTCACATTGAAAAAGAAACTATGGAATGGAACACTGATAGTTAACAAAATTCATGAAGTGGCGATGTTAAAAATAAACACTGATTGTCAAAAACTGACTGTAACAGAGCAAAATAGACAATACTTCGGTACTAAAAACATAATATGGAAGAAAAGTACTGATAAAATTATGTTTAATGATCATATCCAACATTTTGTTATCTTAAAATGTCTTAACTGGCATATACATTTTGTGTTTTATTTCCACCATTTTGATCATTGTTGGGTTTGTATTATCTATGTATCAAGGTAAACAGAAATTGTGACATGTGTCAGGTATTTTTTTGTACTCTAATCCCTTAAGAAAGTGGGGTGAGGTTCTGCCAGCTAGAGCGGAGGAACTTACGCATTCCTTTTTGTATGGGGGTGTCAGCAGTACTGACCAGTGTGTGTCTGGTGAAGAATTAGTGCCATGCTTTTTGAATTGTTAGGTGCCAGAGTGTTGCTCACAGTGTGTAAAAAAGTAAAATTCCTTTTTATTTGTTGTGTTATGAAGTAGTTGTGTACTATTTATATTAATAAACAAACACACCTGATTTGTATTTGCCAAGTTATTTTTCTTTATTCGAACGTTTTCAGTTCGAATAAAGAAGTTCAAATTCAAATGAATTTCGAACTAGTTTCATTGGAACGAACAACGTTAAAGCCTGAAGATGGCCTATACAAATAGGTCGAAAACATTCGAATAAAGAAAAATAACTCGGCAAATACAAATCAGGTGTATTTGTTTATTAATATAAAATAGCTAATATTGCTATGAAGATAGATAGATAGTAGTTGTGTACTTTATTCAGAACATTTAAAACGTTTATCATTATTTTCTAGTCTGTCGAGGCGGATGGGGATAGTGTTTTGAGTGCAGTGGATTGAATTGGATTGAGACGAACTTTCGGTTGGAATGAAGATGAAAGTTTACTTCAAGAGTTGACATTAAACTTATGCTTTAATTGAAGGTATGATAATTCTAGTGTTTATAAAATATGGATTTAAAAACATTGTGTATAAAAAAAGAGAGTTGCTAAGAGTAGTTTTACTAGACCAGGGGTCGGCAACCTGTGGCTCGCGAGTCACATGCGGCTCTTTGGATGTGAAGCTGCAGCTCTTTAGTTCCATACGCAAATATTATTTATTTTATAAAAAAAAAACATTTAAAAATTGTTCTGAATCGATTAACGAGGATTAGGCACTGATTCTATCTCTCAGCCACTTGTACTCGCTTTTCATCACACCCCTCCCCCATCACACGCATCACTGTCGTCAGTCCGTCGGAAGCTCTCGAATGACGCCGTCGTCGGATGTTTCTATTATCTAATTTGTTGTGAAAAACACTACTTATATATGAATAAATAGATATTNTAGAGGGAGGAGAATAATGTGTGTTTTTAATACATATTTCACAGGAAAAAATAAAATTTCGGATAAAATTTTATTGTTGAATTATTACTCTGAAATTCATACGCGTTTTCTTTTTATTTGTTTAAATCTTTTTATAATCGAAATTTCTCGAGATTATTAATATCGTTGCTTGTATAAACAATTTTATAAATTTTATTTTCAAATCGAATTTCATGTCAAGTATCATTTAAATCTCACGAAGGAATATAAACATGTAGAATCAGCAGAACGACTTCGGCGTGGTGAAGCAAATATGGTTTGGAACGTCTAAGGCGAATTTCCGTGTTCTATCAACTAGTAGAGTACATTCATACATCACTTTTGAAGTTGTATATTCTTGTGTTGACTCTAAGCTAGGAAATGGGTTAAACACGATGCTGGAGTACCAACAAGTCGGAACGAATATTGGATTTGTAGTCTTACTACTATACTAATTTATACCAGTACACGAATAACTGGAAATTTATAAGAGAATTTGGTAATTTAATCATCGCTTATTCAAATGAACTTCACGTCTAACACATTAAAATCTATGATTGAAGAGTTATTTTCTGTAAAGCTCTGTCAACTTTACTGTTGTTTATTTAGTGTAAGTTGACAGTTTCACTTCATCTGACCTTCGATCAAAGATGTTAATTAGCTTATGAATATAACACTAACGGCTTCGTAGGAGTGAATATTTTTGTGACACTCTGGAGGAAAATAATCTTCAAGTTCCTTCCTTCCAATTTGAACGAGAGTTCATTCGGTGCTATAAAAAGTTGAATATGTTTAGGAAATTATATGATTATTTTCATCATTTCCGCTTATTTAATCATAGGAGATAGTAATGAAATATCTTCTCGAAACTGTTATGTGAATATCCTCTAGAAGAAAAGTCAACATAGTTATTAATTAGATGTACCTTCTAGATATGATTCTGTTGATACTGCTAGATTAAGTAAACATTACAATTAAATAGTCACCAGTCAGTGTAATTTTTAATTAAACTATAATTAATTTAATAATTTTTTATATTTTTAATAACAGTTTCGTTTTTTTTTATAAGAAAGTGGAATTTTTATTTAGAATTTACATATTTATTTTCTACAATATAATTATTAAAATACTAAATTTCATTTAATTTATAAAAAAAGAAGAGAAAGTAATAGGGAAGATGGAGAGCTGTTGCCTAGCAACATCTTTGTATCTTTATTTTATCTTTGGATTATGTCACATCGGTGTCCATAGAAACGGAAAAATCTAAAGGAAATTTAGAGAAGGGTAAAGTGTAAAACTTAGGATAATAAAGGCAAAGCTGGTACTTCGGGAGTAGCATTATACGCAAAGTTCCTATATAGATATGACACTAATTTTAGTTTCCCGGCTGTTATAGAATTCTGTATAACATAGGGAAAGTATGGTAATCGGTCAAATTTTGACCTTTTCCCCCTCCCTTTTTTTTATATTTCTTGAAGTTTTGAGACTTTAGGAACCCAAAAATCCCCTTACAAATTTTGTATAATGTATGTGTGTTGTCCATTTTCATTATATCTCAGGACTGAATAAACCGAAAATTTTAAAATTTGGCAGGAAATATATAAAGCATTGATGCTATTAAATTTTGATAGTTATAGGTCAAAGGTTAGGCAATAGAGAGGAGTCGCGTGTATATCTCGAGTGAAGTCAGACTTAATGAAAGTTTTACTCGTTTTAAAACGCATTTAGAAAATGTAACTGTCGATAATCTCTACGATATTTATCCAATTTATTTATAATTTTAAAAAAATTATAAATAAATTGGATAAATATCGTAGCATAAATTGGATAAAATTTTCTAATCAGTAAATATAAATTAAAGAAAGATTTAAGGTTACGTACGAATATAAAAATTATAAATTAATCATTAAAATTTTATGTTTACTGATATTGTGTATTGTATAATCGAACGACGTTGCTCCTTTGAAATCAATAAATTATGAGCAAGTATGATAAAAAGTGACAGATAATAAACAAGACTGTAATAAAGCGCTTCTTTTTCAAAATTATTTTTTATATTTATGACTAAACTAAACTGATAAAAGTTTAATCATTTTTTATTTTATTTATGTCGATATTTTTCTAATTTTACTTGTAATATTTTCTTGTGGTAAATTGTAAGAATGTTACGTTCCCAGCTGTTATGTATATAACATAGGAAAGTATTGTAATGATGTCATATTTGACCCTTCAAGTATTTTGAAACTTCCTGAAAATGAGGGGAAATTCTCGTAGATATAAGTTGTATATGTGTGTGTGTATTGGTGTATATTTCGTTTAATATCTCAGGATTGGGAAATGATTAAGAAACCAAATTTGGCATGGTAACTTGTCTATAAGGGGCATTGATGCTATTAAATTTTGGTAGATAAAGGCCGAGAGGATGAGGATATAGAGGGAGGATATACAGGCGCTATATCGAGTGAGGTCGTACTTAAAGAATGTTTTACTCGTTATTGGCATTTACAATTTTCTAAAAACTCATCTCTATTCTCAAAATTAAGCATTTTACCTTTTTCATAATAATTAATAACATAAAATTTATTTTTTAAATAAAATCTCATAACAGATGGAGCCACAGACAATTTTAACTTTGAGCTAATGTTTGACAGTGTTTCTTAAACATAAATATTTTTCTTCAGGAAAGTTATGCAACTCGTCGCTGGATTTTTCTTATATTAATAATATTAATTTCTACATAATTTATATAATGAATTTTATCATTTTATTTTTAATTATTTTCTTTAAAATGCATGAATTGCAAAACATTTTGTTGCATTTGTACAGATCATAATTAAATAGGTGTTCAGAGCTTTCTGTTAAAAGAACTATTGGGCATATCTCAATTAAATTTACTATGCACATCGTTCTGAAGTACATATTTTCGATTTTTGAGAAAAAAGTTTTACTTCAAAATTCAGCCACCAGGGCAAAATTTGACGCTGCTTGTCCTCTTAATGAAAAGATTACGTACGTTTTCTACAAATTTCGGATATAAAAGGCGTTGCAAAACTGCATAAATTCGGTAAAAACATACTCAATTTGCATATTACACGTGTGGAAAGTAGCGCCAAATTTTGCTCTGGGGACTGAATTTTGAATAAAATTTTTTCGACAGTCGAAACTGCATAGGCAGGACAATATGTATAGCAAATTGTGTTTGTTTCATACTTAATTAATTATATCATATTTATTTTGTTTAAGGAATAAATATTAACTTAATATATAATATATATAAGTATAGGCTAATTAAATATTTTTATTCGCCATCGTTCATTGATGCTTAGAAGAATTTTTCTCTTTTATGTTGAAAGTTTTAACTGCATTAAACTTTGGAAAACAACTAAATATTCTTTAAAATTATTTTTAGATAATAATTAATATTATCTAAAAATTTTCATTAAAATAAGTAAATAAACATGTATTGAAAATTGTTTTGCTGTCGTTTACAAGAAACTATTCATGTTTGTAAATGTTATAATCGATGTTATCATAATTCCTGCTTCTATAGAATTTTCTGATAATTTCCAGAGGTTCGAAGTTTATTTTTCACTATTTATTTTGCATGAACACCGATAGTTGCCCCGGTTTCTTTACGTTTGTAACACTTAAATAAGAGCAGTTTCCGCAGAAAGTCCTTCAAGGAGGCACCCACCCCCTTGGCACATCGCCCCAGTGTTGCATTGCTTCATCTCATTAATTGCCATTACATTTTTTTGAAAGAAAAATATCCTACATTTTTAGCATAAGAAGAGTTTTTCAGACAGAGGGAATAATTCACTGACTAATAAATTAGCATCTTAACTTTTTATCTGGGTTATAAAAGGAAGATACTTAAGATGAATTCAGAAATTTAGTCCATTTTCCTTGAATCATTATAAAGTTTTACGTAACTTATCTGGTAATATTTGAGAAGATTCAATCGTCTTACGTATCAATAAATATTAATATGACTTCATAGAATCTCTTTTTATTCTCATTTTTTTAATGAAAATTCAAAAGTAGCACGAACTTCATTTTTCATTCAACTGAATAAATCTATTTTTCCCTCTCCATTACTTATTTTATTTACGATATATTTTATAAGCACGAAAACTATATGGAAAATTCTAAAGTATAAAATATGTAAATCAAAT